AGGGGCGAATTGCCGAAAAATTACATTATATGTATAAGGTCAATTATTTTTTAATATTGAAACAAGAAGTTTTGTCACATGTACAACATATGAAAGCCAGACGCAAATTTGATTGTTCTGTTATGTGCATAATGGCAATAGTATAGTAAATACTACCTACCTACAATGATAGCTCTAATTAGGGGTAGCAAATGGGCAGGTCGAGTCAGATATGGGATGAGTTAAAATGGGTAATAAAAAAAACATATAAATTATCGAACCCAACCCATATTTAATACGAATAAAAATAGGTTAATCGGCAGATAATATGAATAATCATATTATCCATGGCTTCTTGAATACGATTATTTTTGGAAAAATTCCTAATCTCCAAAATTTGAGGAACTCCCAATTTGAGGCCTTACAAATGTCAAAGTTAAACCCATTAGTTATCCATTTTCTAAATGGATAATATGGTTCTTTATCCCTATTTGACCTGTTTTTAAAAAGTTCATTATCCAACCCATTACCCTCATTTCTTAGTGGATAATATAGGAGATTAACGGTTAGAGAATATTATCACTTTTAACCCGCACCAAAAACTATTTACATCTGGCACCCAAAACGGTTAGAGAATATTATCACTTTTAACCCGCACCAAAAACTATTTACATCTGGTACCCAAAACTATGTACACATTTGGGGCTGCGCAATACAGTTGATAGAAACTCAAATAGGAAAACGACGACTTACACCTGAGATACACAGAATGCTCGAGAAATAAAAAATAAAAAAAATTTAAAAAAAAAAAGGTTGCCAAATTGCAACTGCTAACATATTGATTAAGCTTTGAATCAGTTCATTTCTTTTAGAAGTAACGATCCATCTCTCGCCTAATAATTTTTTTAAAAAAAAGTTAGTGATTCTAGTGGCATTGCGATTATGAAGCATGAGACTAATAATTGAGTTGTGCCGTTTTTCAGATGTCTTTATTTGATTTTGCATGAAAAACAGAATTCCAGTTGATGATCTAGACTGTTACTACATGGATTGGAATATGTCATCTTTTAGAACAAAAATAGAGAGAAAAAGATTGTATTGCAAGTGAGTACAAGAGCTTCTGATAAAAGCTCATTGGTACTTGTTCAAACAATATTTTTTTTTACTTGGAAGCAGATAATATATTATTGGATATATGGTCACCAGCCACCATGTTCGGGAAAAAAATAAAGCTTGAAAACCAGTTTGGACTTTAGAACATGAAATTTTGAACACCAACCTGTTTCTTCGTGCATATTTTCCATTACATTTGAGCAAGAAACATGTATCCTTGATACATCATCATCAACCATCCTCATCGGAGAACCATTCCCCCAGCATAGAAATATCTTCCACAAGTAGAACCTAAAAATCATCTTAAGACGTTCAAGGGATTGCATATACCCCCTGCTCATTTCTAGCCTTCAAGATCTGAACTCACTACTATTAATAATAAACTACGGGAAAATAATGCACAAACACTGCCGTTGCAACTTCAGAGGCTCAAACGGAAAAAACATATCCTTGTCCAGCAGATTACCCAACTGGCATGAGCAGATTTATTTCTTTCAGAATGACTAGTTGTTAGGCTTCAGCAGGTTCATCAGAGCACAAGGGATGCAGCACAAAGAAGCTCATATATTGGACGATAATCTACCACGTTGAAATTGACGAAAATTTGAAATTCCCCGCTCCACGTGTGCCATATGTTTCATGCCTGGGCAATTCAAGAAGCAGGAATAAACAATTACAGAAAGATCAGCAGACCACTATAATTTCATTGCAACACTAGATAGGGTAGGGCAGCCAAAGTGCCTTTTTTTCTTTTGTGCCTTTAGGCATTCAAGAGGACCAAGAAGATAGATTCAAAGAAACATGATTTAGATAATTTGCTTCAGGTAAACATTCTCATGGAGAACATTAAAAATCTCAATATACATTGACATTACCCTGAATTAAGCTTAGTTTTCTGTCTGTGCTGCTGAGTTTGAACCCTTCGTCTGTTCACCATCCCTTAAGATTCTATAAGCATAGAATGCTGCCACTCCTCCACTACACACAGCAAAAGCCGATGGACAATGCTAAAGTGAGAACCTGAGATACAAAAATCTACTATGCCTGTGCTCATTATGCACTTTTTCAAAAACTTCATGTAGCTACATACTCCTTTTTTCCCTTTTCGGAGGGTAGAGGGTAGGGGGTTACATCACTTTATTGTGGGGGTTCAACAATGACAACACCTCAATCCCAAGCTAGAAGACATACATACGAAATATATTAAGACGTAGCTAAAAGATTTAGCATAGGAAGGCGGAGAGCGATGGAAATTGAGTTTTTTTTTTCCTTAAGATGAAAATCCATTATTTCACTCTTAATAAGGTTAAATCATTTTTTTTAAAATAGCATTGCATATACAACATGAGAGCAGAAATTTCATGAGGGATTTGATGAACTCCGGAGTACTTGTTTATCTTTGTTCTAACTTCTAAGTAAACATGTTCATTCTACTATATGATCTCCCACCAGCCTTTTTGAAATAACTGCATTTGGAGCTAGCTGGCATCAGGGTTGTCAAAGGCGAAAAGCATTAAAAAGCGTTCTAGGTCGATTTGGGCTTTAAGCGCAAAGCACACTTAAATTGTGGGCTTTAGTTAAAAAAGGCGCAATGAAGGAAATAAATAAAAATTTATATGTATTTCAAGAACACTAACAAATTCGTTTATAATGTTCCCCTTAGCAACTAATACACTTGTTTCTGATTATAGTAGTTGTTTAGTGCCGCTTGATTCAAGAGAGAACTCATGGGCTATGATGCGCACACCTTAGTGCCTTGCCTTACACTGAAGCGCAAATAAAGCGAGGCAAAGCGTCCTCCTTGAGCTTTTCTGAGCTTCAGGGCTTAAGCGCGCCTTAAATGAGCATTTAACAACACTGGCTGGCATCAAGACCCTTGGTGGACAGGTTACAGCTAACCATGTTGCTGTAACCTCTCGCACCCTCTCTCCACTGCCACATCCTTCTTTTCTTTTTATTTTGGACAAGATAGAAAGAACATTTTGAAAAGGACAATGAGCTTTGACCAGCAAAATATTAAATAGTCTAGAATTAAAAAAGTATGTGAGAACTAGAAATATTGAAACCTGATGAAGGCTGTAATAAAATTGAAAAGAAATGGTCTCTGCAAGGCAAGAGAAAAAAGTTGTAAGAAACCACATTATTGACCAAGAACAACTGGACAAGAACTCTAAACAAAGGAGGAGGAAGAAAAGGATGTCTTACCTGCAACAACACGCGAAATTCTCTGACAAATAAGATGGTAGCAATGGCTGAAAAAGAGAAAATGAGTAACGGGTAAAGCAATGTTGCACTGATTAATACAGAATTTGAAATATGAGAAACAAATTTTTTAACATATAAAAGCATGAAAAACAAATTCTAGCATTACAATCAAAATAAGAAGGCCTTTTTCAAAATTGTAAAATTATCTGAAAAAGGACGGTAAAACAGAAAATTTTGGAGTGCATGAAGGTATGAAACCCCTAACTAACCTACACAAGCTCATTGCACCCTTGAAAGTTGCAAGCATGCAGGTAGCAGCGGACTAAGGTGCAACCCACAACCACATATGGAAAAAATAAAATAAAAAAAAACTTGAAAGCCTCACTGAGACAAAAGGAAATAATATTTCTTTTATGTTTTTGGGTTTGTAATTGAGCGTAACAGTTGTGCACATAGAAGCAACATATGGCTTGTTTTGAACAAAACTTGGGACTTCTCAATTAGCAAAAATTTCAAATCATCTTTCAGTTGCCTTCAGAAAATTGGTGAAGCTGCCACTGATGTTCCTCCTAAAATGGTAAGAATTCTGTTTCCACAACTTATTCTAAAGTGAATAAACAAAAAACATCCAGATTTTGCCAATTTTATCTAGAATCAGAAATATGAAATCAACCGATTAAACCTCAATCCAAAACCAGTTACGATCGGAATATAGGAATACTCTATATGGGTTAACTCCATTAGCCCCATTTCATTCAAACACCCAATAAAATTAAGGGCTAATTAGCATATCAATACAACAACTACCATGCCTAAATCCTGAACTAGTCGAGATCTAACATATGAATCCTTTTAAACTACCACTTAATTTGAAACCGACTAATTTCAATACTCAATAGTTTATCTTTAAGATAAACTAGGGATCTTCAACACTAGAGAATCTCTGCTTCTTTTACTGACATTGCAAGTTTATTTATCATTCCTATTTAATGGTGTCGTCCCTGTATGACAATTATATGCCAGATTCACAAGCAACTCCCACGATACCCTTTGCTGAAATTGATAATAGCAAACTAATATATGAAGGCGTATCAAATAAACCAGAATCTTCAGGTAAGAGTTGCAGATAGGTGTTAGAAAGAGTACAAGTAGAGTAGGGAGTAAATGAGAGTAGTCTCTCATATACTAACCTGCCTGTCCCTTTAATGCTAGAGAAGTCGCCTCTCCACTTTTCCACGATCTTAAACTTGAGACGCTCAAGGCCACAAGAGTACCACCAAGTATAACACCAAATCTAAGGGCAGCAATGCTTCCGCTTAGCATGAAGTACAAAAAGCCACCAACAGAAAGAAGAGTTCCTGCAGAGCATGACCACAGCAATGAAAAAGCTATAGGTTTCAAGCCATTGCATGCTTCACAAAGAATTTAAACTAATAGTAACCCAAACAAAATGATGAAACGACTTCTATAGTGGAACAGTCTCCTACTACTGCATTTGAAAAGATAAGGTCTACATACCATAAGGTATTCCCACATAAAAGTCTCGTACTTTTGAAATGTCACTTAGTTCATCCGCAGAGGAAGCAAATGTTTCTACAATATCCTTTACAGGTTCAGGGGAATTCTCGGCAGCAGTTGCTAAGTATTCTTTACTCTCCTCACTAATTTCCTTTGCAACTACAGTCAAATCTTCTCTTGCCTTCTCCGCTTGGATTTGTAACTTCTCAGAAGTTTCTTTCAAAATGATCATAGCTTTCTTGGAATACACCTCATATGCTTCTTGTGACACAGCCTTTACCTGCATCGCTTGTTCTTTGAAGGAAGCTAGGGTCTGCTTCCATACCTCTTCTGACTCCTCAGCCTCTGTCTTAAGATCTTTTTCGTCCTTCTCCAATTCAACATCTGAAGGCTTCTGAAAATATAAAAATTGACTAATAAAATTGAAAGAGCTATGCCTAATGTCAAAAAGATTTAAAAAAAAAAAACTAAGTTATACACAACAATCAACATACTACTCCCTCCGGTGCCTCCACCCTAATAAAATAGACCTAATTTGACTTGTTAGGATATAAGAGTAAAATATTTGGAAATATTATAATATTTGAGTTTGTTTGGATGAGTTTAGGATAATAGCTTGAAATGTAAAGAATGTGGAATAGTTACACAAAAGCACGCCACATCAAGTTCAATATAATAAAAACATGAACAATTTATACTAGTTCAATCGTTGGAGAGGAAGATATTTTCCATTTAAGGAAAACGGTCAATGTTCTTTGAGGTGGACCATAAAGAAGAGAAGCTCAACTTAATAAGGATGGAAGAGCATAATAATAATAATAATAATAATAATAATAATAATAATAATAATAATAATAATAATAATAATAATAATAATAATAATAATAATAATATTATATATGGAGAGAGAGAGAGATTAGATACTCCATTCTTAACATACGAAAGTTGCTATCACAAGCTGGAAGGAACGGAATTCTTCCTTTACAAAAAGAGCAAAAATATGCAGGGTGCTAGCTAGCCAAATGCCATAACAAAGAACCACAAGAAAAAGAACATAATAGTAAAAGAAACCAAGCATCCAATAAAACCCCGCCAATCTGCCCGTTACTATTTCATACAATTATGTATCTTAAGTATAGCTTCTTAGTTTCCTTGAGAAACCGTTAAATTAGACACCTAGATCAGACTACAGCTTTCACACCCTTATAAAACTCCTCTTGCATAGTGTACCTGGCTACTCAAATTTAAAATCATGGTAACGGGATGCAAAAGAGTTAGTTAAAAATTAAGACATAAGGTTTGATGACACAATATAAAGCTACCTCCGTCTGAATAAAAGGACAATGACAGAGTTCAATGTACTTAAAGCATCTAACCTTTGATGTGGACACAATTGCTGATCCCTCAACTATTTTCAAATAAAATTTGCATATTTAAGAACTATGACAAGATACTATAAATTACGAGGATTACATGCAACTCTTTCAGCTTGATGTTGAACCACCTACAAGCTGAGTATAAGCTACAAAGGGAATAACAACTTGGATTCCCCTTTTTACAAGCTTGTCTTAGAATCTTTGTATGTAACGGAATCTGAAAACAACAATCGATGTCCATGTCCTGGACCTCACATCATATTCAACCACATAAAAAAGTAAAATGCAAAGTGTATCCATTGGGAACAAAAAGTAAAGACTTGTACTAGGAGTTAGAATTATATAATACTCCTTCCGTCCTAATTTATATGACCTATTTTAAATGACACACCACCAATAATATTATTTTGTACCACTTTCATAATTTCTAGAATTTAATCTCATTCAAGGATTCAAAATTTAATATAGGTGATCTTTTCTCAACTAAACTAATTTCTTATCCACTGCCTACGCAATAAGGAAAATTGCACTCTTTTCACCTAAATATCACACATCCATAGACGCTCAATTAGAAAATCTTTAAATTGTTTCAACCAATAAAATGACCATAAAACTAATGAAATCTTAACAACAGATGGTCACGAAAACAGTTTTTTTCCTCATAATAAAGCTTCTACTTTTGACTGCAATTCATATCCGAATAATGCTTACAACTCCTCACTTTACTGACTAAACGAGCTAATAAAACACAATAAATAAATGAATAAATAAATATCTATTTAAAAAGAAATTAACAAGTTTACTGAATATGACTCACCGATTCCTCATGTGAAGCAGCGAATGAGAGAATCGATCTATTCCTTAAATTCCGTCGAGCCAACGGAGTTGAGCCGGAGCCGAAACCAAAGCCAGCCGGAGAAACAGAGCGAACCACAACAAAAGCCTTTCCTTTAGGTGTCTGAATAGAAGTAAACCCTAGAGAAGCAGGAGAATAACAGAGCGCCATTGAAGGAGCTTGCTTTAAAAATTGAGAAGAGATAGGGTTAGGGTTTGCTGATGTAGCAACATTCATTTTCTTCAGCGCTCTTTTGTCGAGTTACAGTAGTGGGGAGTGTGCTAGGTAGCTGAGAAGGCTCGTTTTCTCTAAAATACACCCGAGTTTAGTTGAAGGGAATAAAGGTATAGGTCTAAGTGACACGTAACACGCCACGTGTTCCGGCATGTGACCCTACCGAATCGGTGACCTGGCAAAGCTTGGGGTTCTTGCTTGTGACTCGAGGATAGTATCAAATCTAACAACATTTATTTTTAATTTGTTGTTTTTTATTCTAAGAATCTTTGCTTGCCACAATCCGTAAGGTCTACAAGTTTGTTTATCGCTCGTAATGTAATTGATGTCGTGCTATAATTTTTTATTCATTGACGTTATTCATCTCGCTTATTTGTTGTATTGATGCTAATTTGTGCGATATTTGAACTTAGTTGAGTTTATTTTACGTGTAGGAATAAAAAGTGGAGAAATGTTGCACCAACTGGTACCTAGAAGCTATAAAATAGAGCATAAAAAGAAGACATCGCAATGAAATTTCACAGTCCTAGACAATGCAAGGCCATGAAATCTCATTCCCTTAGACAGTGCAAGGCACTGTCCAGTGCGACTAAATTTGGCGCCTCTGATGGTGCCTTGCACTGTTGAGGTCTATCCAAGCTACTTTTGTTTCCTCCTCAATTTTGGACGTGGATACTTCAACTAGTAACGACCTGACTGGTCATTATGAGTATTGGCATTTTGTTCGGAGATTGAGGTCTTGAGTAACTTCATATGGTGTATTACGAATTTACGTGCATGGTTGGTTTGGTTCCGAGAATATTCGGAGTGATTTGGAACACTTAATTCCTAACTTGGAAGCTTAAGTTGGAAGTGTTGATCAAGTTTGACTTTTGTATATTTGACCCTGGATAGGAGTTTTGATGGTTCCGTTAGGCTCGGATGGTGATTTTGAAGGCCTATGACCAGATTTGAGTTATGGTGTTCCTAGATGATTTTGAGGCTAATTCTCGAAAGTTGAAAGTTTGGAGAGTTGATAGGTTTGGCCCATAGTTGACTTTGTGGTAATTGATGTTCATTTGGGATTTCGAGCCTTGGAATATGTCGTATGGTGATTTATAACTTGCGTGCAAAATTTGGGGTCATTCCGAGTTATTTAGACGTGTTCGTCATAAGTTCATTAGGGAGAGGTGATTAGACAGGACATGCCGATGCTTCACCTAACCGAGGACATGACTAGCGATAGGAACGTGTGGAGGTCGAGGATTAAGGTGGTGGGTTGACAGGTAGTTTTGAGTTTCTCCTAGGTTACCAGTAGTACTAGTAATATTCTTGTTGTTGGTTGAATGTTACTTCCTTTTAGTTTGTTATTATATCTAGTACTTAGCAAACAAGTCCAATGTTTTTGTAAATTGCTACTGGAAATTGTTGCTCCCTGATTATTATTATTTGATGCTACTCTTTCTCCCTTTTACTGAAAATTGTTGCTCCCTGATTGTTACTATCTGATGCTATATTTTCTCCTCTTTTTCCTTATTGTCTTTTGTCTCCCTCATCTGTCTTTCTCCCCCCCCCCCCCCTTCTTTCTTTTTCTTCTTCTTCTTCTCCCATTCTTCTTTTCCACCTTCTCTTGAGCCGAAGGTCTATCGGAAATAGCCTCTCTACCTCCCCAGGTAGGGGTAAGGTCTGCATATACATTACCCTCCCCAAACCCCACTTGTGCGATTATACTGGGTATGTTGTTGTTGTTGTAGTTCATTAGGCTTGAATTGAGGTGCTATTCGTGATTTTGATGTTATTTTGTGGGATTTCCGTATTATATTTTAGGGCTCGTTGGTATGTTCGGACAGGGTCCCGAGGGGTTGGGGTGTGTTTCGGGGTGGTTTCGGACCATTTCCCCCTTGTTGTTAATTACTGGTTTCTTTGATTTCTGGTGCTAGTTTGATGAGCATCGCGATCGCGAAGTGTGTTTTGGGTCCCTGGTGGTTTATTGATGAATATACAAGCTCAAATTGTGATGCTAGAGAAGCATACGTGGAGGCCATGTTTTCTAAAACAATAGAGGATTATTGGGCTCATAAAGAAGCCAATGGATTTGGAGAACTGGGCCACGAATTTAAAATGCGTACACTAATTAGCCTTATCAATTTTACTCATTGTAAGGTCTATTAAAAGGGCTCAATATGTTAAAAATAAACATGGATGATTAGTTCTTCGCTTTAAAAATGGCATTTACTTTTTATTTCATTATTCTTCCTTTATGTAACGTTTCTTGCAATCTTGGGGGATTGAAGAACGTGTGTGTCAGGTTTCTTTTCATCTTACATTCTTCTAACATGAGTTTGAAGAACGCTTCCGCTAGTTTTCTGAAAAAAATTGGGGGTGCTTTTGTTTTTCTCTCTTCTTTGTGCTTGAGAGACCTTGAAAGTACATTAATTTGGTATTGGAACACAAGTTTTATGTCCGATTTCTTGAATTTTTATCTTGTTCATCATGTCGCCAGACAAGAAAATGACAAGCTCGGGATCCTCTTCACTTGATGAACAACTTCAGATTCAAAGATTAAGAACTACAACCCTTGAACGAGACAATGAAAAAATTAAAATGCAACTAGACGGCTTTAAAGTGTGACTAGATGACTTAAGAAAATTAATGCAAAATCGACTGGATTGGTTAAAGGTTTGGCAATTCAAAATCAGCCACCAAATCCGCCACAATGCCTATAACCTCCACCACCACCAAGACACAATATACCAGTGCTACCGTGACATCTTTCACTTCGAGATCCACCAATTCAACCGTGTAGAGCATGACATATTGAGCAAGCGAAAGAAACTATAGCTGACCAAGGCATGAGAGTACCGAGGCGCCATGCTTACTATGATAAAAAATCAGATTCAGAATACGTAGACAATCAAGGTAGTGAAGAGTATGACTCTGATGAAGTCCAGTATCAACATGATAGAAGGAGACCTCAGAGAAGGTCACACAATAACCATTGAGAAAGGTATCAACGTGAATATTAAGCTTAATATTACGAAGTATGATGGCAAACCTCAAAAGAGAGCGAGATCTTGAAGGAAAAACACGAATTCGTAATTGGGAGAGAATTAAACGAGAATTGTGCTAACAGATCTTGCAAAAGACATATGAAGAAGATTCTTACTTTAAGTTTCATTCTTTTAGACAAAGAACTTTATTCGAGGATGAGTACACAAAAGAATTTGAATATCTTTGGCTCAAGAATGAAAGCCTATTGCGAATGTGATACGATTGCAATGCCATTGGAACTTTGGAGATGTTTTCAAACTAGCCAAGGTCGTAGAGACACAACACAGGGAAGCCAAAGCCATGTTTTCATCAACTACCATAAAAAATCCGAACACTTGCAACCATGGGAGTGCTAGTTTGAGCTCTACAAAGCCACATTCATCTACAACAAAACCAAGTGTTCAGAAAGTTGAAGGGAAGCCCATGACTTTAGAAGCTATTTCTAAAAAGAGATGCCATAAATGTGGAGGATTTGGATATATACAAGTCCTAACAAAAAGGCATTCACCATCCTTGAAGGAGCAAGTGATGAAGAAGATTATCATGAAGAGTAGCATGATGACAACTTGGAAGAAGAAGCTGAATATGGAGATGATGGAGAATACCTTATGATCCAATAAGTTCTTCATTCAGATTCTAGCAAGGAAGAACCATGGTTGCGACACAATATTTTCCCCACACGTTGTACACCTAAGAGAAAAGTCTGTAAGCCCATCAGTGATCCGGGAAATTGTACCAATATAGTTTCTGAAGAAATGGTTACAAAATTAGGGTTTGAGATAAAGCCATTGTAGAAGCCATACAACATGGGGTGGTTGGATAAAGGAAGGAATGTACATGTTAATAAATGATGCCTTATTCCTTTATCTATAGGCAAGAATTATCAAGATAAGGTTTGGTGTGATAATGCCTACGAATGCTTGCCACTTAATGTTTGGGACCATGCGAATATAATAGAAAGTCAATTCATGATGGTTTCAAGAACACTCTTTCGTCAAGGATGGAAACAAGATCAAACTGCTCCCAATGAAACCCTGAATATTTAAAGAAGTCAAATCCTAAAGTGAAGAAGATATATATCACGTGAGCTAAGGTAGAAAAACACTTGAAGGAAGGAGAGGAAGTGCTTGCTGTAGTACCTATGGAAGTGGAATATATCACCTAGAAAGAGTCATTAGAAGTCATTGACCCACGACTTCAAGCAATATTGGATGAGTTTCATGACATTGTTTCTGATACTACGCCTTCTTCCTTACCACAAATGAGGTCAATTCAACATCAAATTGATTTAATTCCAGGCACACCATTTCCTAATAAAGCAGCATATCGAGTGAATCCAACACAAAATGAGGAACTTCAACGACAAGTCGAGGAGCTACTAGATCATGGACTAATAAGGGAATGTTTAAGTCCTTATGTTGTACCTGCCTTGCTAGTTTCTAAGAAAGATGGATCTTGGCGTGTGTGTGTTGATAGCCGTGATATTAACAAGATCATCCTCAAGTATAGATTTCCTACTCCTAGGCTTGATGATCTTTTCGGTCAATTACATGGGGACAAGATATTTTATAAAATTGATTTAAAGAGTAGCTACCACCAAATTTGAATGAAGGAGGGTGATGAATGGAAGACTGCATTCAAGACTGGAAAGGGGTTGTATGAATGGATCGTTATGACATTTAGGCTATCTAACGCTCCTAGCACATTTATGAGGCTCATGACCAGCCATACATGGGAAAATTTATCATTATTTATTTTGATGATATACTTATTTATAGCAAGGATGACCAACAACATTTGAAGCACTTGAGGAAGAGTTTTGAACGTTTAAGAGAGAAAACCCTCTATGCCAACTTGAAGAAGTGCAAGTTCTTTTCTGATCAAATCTCTTTTCTCGGTTATGTTGTTTATAGTGAGGAAATTCATGCCGACTCAAGAAAGATTGAAGTTATTGCTAGTTGGTGTAACGACTCGGCCGGTCGTTTTGAGAATTTAAGTCTCGTTCAACGGCATATGGTCTTGAGCAGCTACGTATTATGTGTCTTAACTT